GTACAGATAGGAACTGGAAACACAGGGAATCCGGGACAGATGATTCCTTCAGGACCAGTGGTGAGAGTGGTGATACCAGGAGGGTGGAAGGAAGGTGGGATAGAAAGGGGGAACCAATCACAAGGATCTCCATATAATCCCCTCCTTGGGGGATGGACAACAGAAAAGTGGGTGAAGGAAGACATCCAACAGTGTGAGACATGACAAAATAATGAGGAGCTGATACCAAAGGCTCAAGTAGAAAGCAAATGTTTTGAGAATGATGATGGCAACAAATGTACACATGTGCTTGACACAATGAATGTATGTATGAATTTTGATGAGTTGTATGAGCCCCCAATAAAGTGATTTTTTTTAAAAGACCTAAGTTTGGTGCTTGGTAAGTCTATAGCAAATATCAGTTACTGCTATGATTCATAGTATCGCTGAAAGGCATTTAGACATTCTTTCATGGACACCGAGGAAGGTTGTTATCGGTGGGTGCTGTCAGCTGATTTCCATGCACAGTGACTCCATGGGACTGAGTAACACGTCTCCCATAGCGTTTCCTAGGCTGCATCTTTCAGGGAAAAGCCTGGCAGATCTCTCTCCTGGGCAGCTCGAGGTGGGTTCAAGTCACCAGGCTTGCCTGTGGCGGGCAAGGGCTTAATGGTCATGCCACCAGGGTGACTTGTGGATCACAAAACACATATATACAAAAAAGCTTGAAAAAGTTTGTGAAAGCAATGATCGACACGTAACCACACCCCCACTCCACACCCCAGGGGGACAAACAACAGAAACCATGGGGAAAGGGAGACAGTGGTCTGTGTAAAGATATGAAAATTATAATTTATCAAGGGGTAATGAGAGTGGGAAGGAGGGCATAAAGAGTTGACACCAAGGGCTCAAATAGAAAGTAAATGTTTAGAAAAGAATGATGGCAACATTTGTACTAATGTGCTCGATACAATTGATGTATGGATTGTTATAAGAGCTGTAAGAGCCCCCAGTAAAATGATCTTTTATTTTATTTTATTTTTGGAAGAAGTCAGCTGCATTTTATTTTTACCATGAAGAAGTCTTCTCTTTTTTCTTCCTTCATATTCTATCATAATAACAGAAGTTATTTGGAAGCTTGGAGTTTTTCTAACTTGTTTAACTTTTTTTTATAAAACAAAGTGTGAAAATGAAATTAAAAGATAATGGAATGATTCCACGGACTTTTGAAAACCCTTTCATATGCACAACATATCAATACATACTTGATTAAGTAGCTGAACATATATGAAATAGAGCAGGCAAAATTAATACATCTATGGTATAATGTAATTAAAGATGAAACACCAAGTAAACCAAAGACCTATGATTAAAACGAAGGGAGAAAACACAGTTTTGAAGAAAGAGAAGCGCACTAGGAATTCATGAGTGACTGGTGTGTTTTAAAATGTAGGCAGTGGTCCTCATTTGCAAGAGGCAAGCTTTGAGTCTAACTGAGGATGCGTTCTTTCAGCAGAGCTGTCTGTCCCCGGAGAGGGTGACACAAGGCAGGGGCATGCTATGGAAACCCACTCAGATAATCCATCCCAAGTTTCTCTTACCTTGGAGCCAACGAGCGTGTACAGCCACTGGATGGTTTCATTGTGGCTGATGACTCCGTTCATCCCATCCACATACAACATAATCTGGCCCAAAGCTACAGAGAAGAACATAAGAAACACGGTGTCACTGTGGTTTCGTCGGTACATACGATCTTCAATAATCACGTCCATTGAGATTCCAAGACGCGAAGTACGCTGTCTGTTGGGGATAGACTCCAAATCCTTGAGCTCTGAAATCAGCTAAATGTCAATTCACAGAGAAGCGTATTGGCCCCATCAGAAGGAACGAAGCTATTCGCAGCACCCAGGGTGCAATGTAAGCACCCAAACCAGTGATTATTGTTTCTTTGGGCCTTGATGGACATATGCTTAGTTTTGATGATTCTTCAGCTGTGTGCCAGGCCAGGCATGGGTGAAGGTAGTGTGAGATGGTGTCTGGGTTGTCAGCGGCCAAGAGGACACATAGATTTCCCAAAGCAGCCTGTCCAGGGCCCCAGCTGATGACCAAGCAAACCCCGGGCTCCACAATCACCCTGAGAGATCCCAGTCCTTCAGTAAAGGGTAAGTATGCACTTAAATCTTATCTATTGGGCTGTTTAAGAGATTTCAGCTGAAAATACCAGAATTCATGAAAAAAAAAAAGTCCTAAACTCTTAGTTTAGGAAATTAATAGTCACAACAGATTGTCATTACACTCAAAAAAACAAAAACAAGGACCATGTTTTGTTTTTGTTTTTTGCCATTAAGCAAATGTGACCCAACAGGAAGCCCAAACTATAAAATATTATCATTAATATCACATGCAAGTAAAATGTTGTTGAATAGCTTCCAATAATGGTTGTAGCAGTGCATTGACAGGGAGCTGCCAGAGCTTCAGGCCGGAGTCAGAAGAAGCCATGGAACAAGGGATATCATTGCTGATGTCAGATGCATCTGGACTGAAAGCAGAGAATACCAGAAAGATGCTTACTTGTGCTTTATTAACTATGCAAATACATTTGATACTGTGGCCCATAACAAACTCTGGGTAGGCTTGAGAAGAATGGGAATTCCAGAACACTTCATTGTGCTCATAAGAAACCAAAAGGCAGTTGTGTGAACAGAATAAAGGAATAGAATAAGGAAACGTGTGCATCAGGGGTGTAGCATCTCGTTATTCACTCTGTATGTTGAGCAAATAATCAGAGAAGCTGGATTATATGAAGAAGAATGTGATGTGTAGATGACACAGCCTTGCTTGTTGAAAGTGAGGAGGGCTTGAATCACTTGCTGATGACGATCAAGCACTGATGACAATTCAATGTCAAGATGACCACACTCCTCACACTTGAACTACTGGGTAGCATTATGCTAAGTGGAGAAAAGATGGAGGTTGTCGAAGATATTGTCTTGCTTCACTCCACAATCGATGCTCCTGGAAGCAGCAGTCAGGGTATCAAGGAACACCTTGCAGTCAGTCACTCTGCTGCAGAAGACGTCTTTAAAGTGTTGAAAAGCACAGGTGTCACTTTGAGGGCTAAGTGCATCTGACTCGAGCCATGGTTATTTTCTTTCTTTCTTTTTAAATAAACATTTTATTGGGGGCTCTTACAGCTCTTATAACAATCCAAACATCAGTTGTATCAAGCATGTTTGTACATATGTTGCCATCATCATTTTCAAAAACATTTTCTTTCTACTTGAGCCCTTGGTATCAGCTCCTCTTCCCCCACTGCGAACCCTTGATAAATGATAAATTATTATTATTTTCCTATCTGACACCGCCCACTGTCTCCCTTTGCCCACATTATGGTTGTTCGTCCTCCTGGGGGCGAACTCCTGGGGGGAGTTATACATCGATCATTGCCATCAGTTACCCCTCCTCCCCTACCTTCCCCCTACCCTCATGGGATCGCTACTCCCACTACTGTTCTGTGGCAGGGGGTGGCTATCTGTCCTGGATTCTGTGTTGAGAGCTTTTATCTGTACTAGTGTACATGCTCCAGTCTAGCCAGGTTTATAAGGTAGAACTGGGGTCGTGATTGTGTGTGTGTGCGGGGGATGGGAGGGCAAGAAGCATTAAAGAACTAGGGGAATATTGTGTGTTTCGTCAGTGCTATACTTCACTCTGGCTGACTCATCCCTTCCTTGTGACCCTTCTATAAGGGGATGTCCAGTGGTCTACAAATGGGCTTTGGGTCTCTGCCATGGTATTTTTAATTGCCTCATAATCACATGAAAGTTGGAGGCTGATTACGAAAGACCAAAGACAAATCAATGCATATAAATTTGGTGCCAGAGGAGGATATGACTGCACCATGGGCTGGCAGAAGGACAAACAAATCTGTCCTAGAAGAAATACAGCCAGAAAGCTCCTTAGAAGCAAGGATGGTGTGATGTCATCTCAAGTTCATTGGACATGTTGTCAGGAGAGACCAGTCCCTAGAAGAAGACATGATGCTAGGTCAAATCGAGGGTCAGAGAAAAAGAGGAAGATCTTCGATGAGATGGATGGACACTGTGGCTGCAACAGTGGGCTCTGTCCGACATAAGAACAAGTGTGAGGATGGCCTGGGAATGGGCAGCGTTTCGTGCTGTTGCACATGGGGTCACTAGATGAAGTCAGAACTTGCTCAACTGCACCTCATAACAACAAACACAAAAAAACAACGCAAAGACACATCAACATATGGAGGCCTGGTGGTGAAATGGTCAAGCACTTAGGTGCTGCCTGAGAGGTCAGCTGCTGGAATCCTCCAGAAGCTCAACAGGAGAAAAGACCGGCGACGATAAAGAGTTAGCCCAGGAAACCCGATGGGAGAGTTCTCATTGGTCACACTGGGTCTCTCTGAGTCAGAATCGATCTGAAAGCACTTGACAACAAGAAGAAGCGAGACAAATGGATTCTTGGTGTCTAGATCCCTACAGGATCTACTGCTATCGAGTGGACTCTGACTCATCAACCCCCGAGGACTGAAGAGAATGGCCTCTTTGAGTTTCTGAGACTGTAAATAATCATTGAAGCAGGGAGTTCCATCTTTCTTCCACAGAGCAGCCAATGGGTTTGAACCGCCAACCTTGAGGTTAGCAGTCCAATGCTTATATCTCGCCGTACCACTAGTGACCCCATAAAACCCATAGTCCCAAGCCCATTGCCATCAAGTCAGTTCCACCTTGTAGCTACTTTGTGGGGCACAGAAGAGCCTGTGTGGGTCTCCAAGTCTGTAAATGTGTGTGGAAGCAGCCAGCCTCACCTTGCTCTCACGTCACCTATGGCACCACAGCTGCAGAGAGCCTCCATGACAGGGCCAAATGGCCACACAGCATTTCCAAGGCTGTACCCGCCACAGAAGCCAACTGCTACATCTGTTTCCCATGCCGTACTTGCGGGGGTTTGAACTATTGACTTTGGTTAGTAGGGAACACTTTCATCACTGCACTGCCAGGCTCCTTAACATACCCTAACTAAGTACTCACTAACTACTTGATGCATCAATGCCAAGGCATAGCGGCCCTGGGGGCAGGTAGGACTGCGCTATGGGTTTCCCAGACTGGAACGCCACTTTCTTTCACAGCACGGCGGGTGAGTCCACACTGCTGAACTTGCTGCTGTAAGCCCAGTGCAGAACCCACCACCGACGGGGATCCCCGATTCACACACCTGGCAGCGACTTTTTTTTCTCAGGCAATGTAATTTTTTTTCCCTGGTAACAAGTATCATTTAGAAAATTGAAAACTTCAGAAGAGTATTTTAAGATAAAGATCATTCATCATCTGTTGAAGGAGGATCATCCTGAAGATACTGATATATTTTTCTTACACATTCGTTTCTATGCATTACATACACACAGAGCTTATGTGTGACTTGGAGAAAATCTATATGAAATGGTATTTACTGAACAGAACAAAATACAAATAAGGAAAATACACTAAGTACAAAGTAGACAAATATAGATAGTTGATGTTCGAGAACCCATTCCCAAATCATCAAGGAGAAAAACCAAAAAAAAAAAAAAAGAGGGAGGGAGGGAGGAGCAGGAACAAGAGAACAACAAGAGATCTAAATTTGATGGCAAGGAGGGCATAGGATGCCTGATGCGGCTTGATCAAGTGCCATGTGGCCGAGAGGAATTACTGAAAGCCTAATGAAGGTCAAACATGATAGTGGGACAAGAGGAAAGAACTAGGAGGCAAAGGACATTTATAGAGGTCTAAATACAGGCAGGCACATATGTAAATATATTTATATATAACAATAGGGAAATAGATCTATGTGCATATATTTATAGGTTAAGTATTAAGGTAGCAGACAGATGTTGGGACACTACTCCAGTCCTCCCTCAATACAAGAAGACTTTGTTCTAATAACCTGGCATTCTATGATGCTCACCTTCCCCGTCACGATCACTGAAACAAAGTGGGTGCATAAGTAAATGTGGTGAAGAAAGCTGATGGTGCCCAGCTATCAAAAGATATAGTATCTGGGGTCTTAAAACCTTGAACATGAACAAGTGGCCATCTAACTTAGAAGCAACAAATCCCGCATGGAAGAAGCACACCAGCCTGTGTGATCAAGAGGTATAGACTGGATCAGGTATCAGGCATCAAAGACCCAGAACAAAAAAGCATATCACTGTGAATGAGGGGGAGTGCAAACCCAAAGCCCACCTGTAGGCAAATGGACGTCCCCTTACAGAAGGGTCACAGGGAGGAGACAAGCCAGTCAGGGTGCAGAATAGCACCGATGAAACATACAACTTTCCTTTAGATCTTTAATGCTTCTTCCCCCCACTATCTTGACCCTAATTCTACCCTACAAATCGGGCTAGACCAGAGCATGTACACTGCTACAGCTAAGAGCTGGAAACACAGGGAATCCAGGACAGATAAGCCCCTCAAGACCAATAATGAGAGTAGTGATACCAGGAAAGAGAAGGGAAAGGTGGGGGGAGAAAGGGGGAACCAATCACAATGATCACCATATAACCTCCCTCCCAGAGGAATGAACAACAGAAAAGTGGGTGAAGGGAGACAGCAGTCAGTGTAAGATAGTTAAAAAATAATAATTTATAAATTATCAAGGGTTCATGAGGGAGGAGGGTAAGAGAGGGGGTAA